TTGGGTTTAACGTCGTGCTTGAGAATATTTCGCTCATGTGACGACTTGCATTCGTGTGTATGTGTATGTGCGGCTGCTTGTACTAGCCCAGACTGAAGCTGGTTTTATAGTGCTAGCCCACGGAGATACCATGCCGCAGTGAAGCATGAATACCCCACTCAGACACATTATACTGACTCCGAGCCGACCAGTCCTTGTTGTACCAATTAATGCCGAGCGCCAGGCAGAGATCAACAAGTACCATATTTTAACGTCTTTTGGTATGACGCGGTCGGGGATCGAACCCGCGACCTTCCGCTCTCGGGAATGGAAGCTCTAACCACTACACCACGTAGGCAGTTATTGGTAACCGAAGGAAGACAACGTCGTGTCCATCAAGTTTGACTAAATCATTTTAATATTATAACACTTGGCTCTTCATGCTCCTTTTTATATCAACCAGTCGTTAATGATTACCGTATTTACTCAAATAGTCATTAACGTTTGCTATCGGAAGCGAAGTTACCACACTGGCCTCAGATGCGCCACTAGTTGCAATGCCACCTATACCAAGCTTTTTGTTCAGACTGACTGAGTTTGGTTTTACGCCGCTTTTAGCAATATTCCAGCAACATCACGGCGGGGGAACACCAGAAATGGGCATCACACATTGTACCCATTTTGTTCAGAGGTGAGGTGAGGTGAAATTGGAGTTAACGTCGTGCTTGAGAATATTTCGCTCATATGACGACGTGCATGCGCGTTTGTGTATGTGCGGCTGCTTGTACTAGCCCAGACTGAAGCTGGTTTTATAGTGCTAGCCCACGGAGATACCATGCCGCAGTGAAGCATGAATACCCCACTCAGACACATTATACTGACTCCGAGCCGACCAGTTCTTGTTGTTCCCATTAATGCCGAGCGCCAGGCAGGGACCAACAAGTACCATATTTTAACGTCTTTTGGTATGACGCGGTCGGGGATCGAACCTGCGACCTTCCGCACTCCGGGCGGACGCTCTAACCACTACACCACGGAGGCGGTCCTTTTTTGTTCAGACAATCAATTTAGTAATGCTTACAAATAATGGTTATGTTATTTTAGGAAACAACTATCAATCTTTCAAGTTGGACATAACTTTTGATGGTTTCAGGCTGGGACAAAATGAGGATGTTCAAAGTCTGTCTCCTCTTTACAAGTCTGGATCCCAACTGGTTGTAGGCTGTTCGTTATATTTTGATAAATATTCGAATATCTGACCAACACTGTTATTGTTAACGACAGAAAATTCATGAATGATTACATTGATTAGAAACGTTTGTGAAATGATGTGGGTGGTTTAGTAAATTGATGTTTGAATGTATCCATTGAATCTCTAGCAGTGCACTCGGGCGGTCCCTGAATGTAGGCATTGTATTGGGCAATACACGCAATGAATCTTCTACAGTTTCACTTGAATGGACATGAATAAACTGACTTTAACCTGAGTGCCAGTTGTGCCTATCTCATCTGCAATGAAGCAAGGATTCGCTAGGGGCGTCAAGGGGAGGTTATCCTGTGACCGCAATTCTCTAACAATACCTGTATTGTGTGACGTCAGCGCCAAATGTGCAAGATGTAATTTAATGATTTCACTTTTGACAATTCTGCTTATAAGTTATGTAAATCTGTATTCACATATTGCAAACGTTTACACGTAAACGTACCCATAGTTAGCTCAAGAAATACACATCATAACAGTTTCCACACATTTGTTCATCAAGTACCAATAGCATAGTATGCTACCATATGTACAAATTTAAAACAGTGTTTTTCAAAAAGAAATACGTTTAGTTAATAACAGTGCAAGCATTTTGCGTGGATGATCTAAGTATAAGGTGTCGGATAACATGTTGGAAATGTAAGTTCTGTATTTGTGCATGCATACCGTGATGTTTTCAGAGTTTTTGTTTTTCAACCCTATTATAACGGCCCTATACCTTAGCCATATATTTCCCATTAACCACTGGGTTTATAAGTGAGGTTGTGGTTTCGATGCAGGTTTTAACAGACGGGTGAGGTTAATGTGGAAGGAACGGCCAACGTGATGTTGGTCTTACTTGACGTTAACCAGTAGACGTTGTAACCAACGAGCGTGGGTATCCTGCTGACACACCAAGAAACACAATCGAGACGACACGGTTTTCGAACCCATGACCGTGGTTTCTAGCGTGCAAGGCACTTTGTTTACCGCTTATGACGACAGGGTCACATGTGTCCAAGGAGTTTAAGTTGATGAAAACATATGTACCAGGTAATGAATCAGTTCTTAATTGTGACACGGAGAGAACAAGGGCCCATTCTGTAACTAGTCACGCGATTTAAGGTGACCCACTGAAAAAGGAAGCCATGTTGCAAGGGCCACGTTGATCTGTTTGTCCTGGTTATTCAAGGTCATCGCTAGAAATTCGATTCGTGCTTGTAGTAACATGACTATAGTATTTGATTTCACGTAGAATAAAATGCCAAGGGGTTAGTAGTACTAGGTATATTTAGCATCCCCCCTGGAAGCTTCAGCAGTAAACTGTTGCTATCAGTATGGGAATTCCGTATCTATTACCAGGGATAATCTGCAGCACCCTGTCTTCTATTCTCCCTTCTATTACACATACGAGTTGTTGCCAGTTGCAGCCACATTGAAACGTTTGCCAGTTTTGATTCATGCTCCAAGCGTAAACCAATATACATTTGAAATATTTATCAAAACATGTAAGAACTGGGAGTGTATTAGCTATATGTGAATATTTTCCACCACGGATCTTCATAAGACGACTGAATGTAGGGGGATACAGTCGTATAATGTTCCGTTAAGTACAGGTGTATTGGCCGCCAGTACTGTTCTTGTTGGCAGCACCCTGCCCACTGTTCTATCCTTCACAAAGGTATAATCGTGTATTCTGGTGTTTAGCCCAACTCATTCGATCCATTGAATCTAATGCTATCACATTTCTACTACTTAATTAGAAGCCACGGCGCGAACGTGTTGCTAAAAAGGTGTAAACAGAACCTGTAAGGCGGAACATTTTGTATTCTTGGAAAGATTATCATACTCCACCAGTGGCTTACAATATTCCAGGATAGCTGGTGAAATAGAAACTCTCATGGCGTTACTTATATCCCACCTGTGACAATCATACCAGTTAATCTTGGGGAATAAACTGTGTGTTTGGCTCAGCATTCACATCTATAATTTCAGGCAAGTACCTATCTATAATAAAGTCAGGCGTGCGATGCCTTTCGAGTAGAAGGCTAATACAAAGTGAGGTTTAACAGTCTTGGGGAAGTGTCATCTTCCAACTCACCAAAGCTTTGTACATCTCAACTCAGGCAGAAAGTGTGTCCCAAACGTACATAGGGTTCAGGTCATTTGTATAAATGGGTCGCGGTTGGTTCAGAAAGATCATCCACACAGGTCGTGACACTTTTCCCAATGTCACACATCTCGATAACAGGGAAACTATCAACATGCCTTATATTTTTATGTCAGATCCTATATTCAGTGATTGAAAGCTTTGGTGAAGAGAAATCATTTCAGGTGATCAGAACATGTTTAATGTTGGTCTGAACATTTTTACCAACCAATACAAGACTTTATCATGTAATGGAGGGTATTATCAGTGCAATAAAGCAATCTGATAAACTTGGTATCCAAAACTGATAACTATGCAAATTACGCCAATCCACGTTCTACTTTCGCAAAACTCCATACACGCCATGCGGATCCTAAAATGTTTTTAACATTTCATTGATGACGTCGTCGCGAGTTTACATTGTATTGTACACAAACATGGCTGCCCCCATTCTCAAAATTGGTGATTCTGTAAGAATAGGTGACAGAGGTTCTGGAGTCGTTACTGCAGTAATTGACTTAGGAAAACATGAAACGGAGTACTTCGTTCAAATTGAAGGTACGGATTATGAGGCATGACTGAAAGGCAATCGTCTAAGAAAGGTAGCAACCAAGGATTTCGATCTATCGACCACAATACAGACGACGAATCGATTCCGTCAGGTATCAGAAACAGATATTGATGAGGTGATTACTAGCAGTGAAAATAGAAACATTCCCAAGAAAACCATGCCCGATTTTGTTGTTCTTTTTAGACAGAAAGATCTTATTTTAAGCATGAGTTATGTTTGCACTGTATTAGCGACTAGTCAAAGCCATATGCCGCCGTCATGAACGACCTTCACCTTGGTGTACCGCTAAGTATTCTTACACGAATGCCCGATTCTCTTCATATAATTTCACGTACGATTTGCTTCTTTTCAAGAGTAATTTTAAGAATGACATTATATGATAAAGAAATTTATTAACCTCGTGTGTTTCCGTATCATAAATATCATATGTGACAGCTGCATCAGTGTCGCCAGTACTGTTATAGCTGCATCATTTTAGTGGGCAGTGTTACAGCTGCATCGGTTACACAGCAACCCCATCCTCTGTAAAACTTTCTCAACGGATTTAGACGATTCACAAAAATGACCCTTGGCCTTATGAAATTCACAGAATTCCGCGGATCCACGGAAAATTCTCATCCCTGTGACTGTTACAGCTGCATCAGTGTAGAGGGCAGTGTTACAGCTGCATCAGTGTAGTGGGCAGTGTTACAGCTGCATCAGTATAGTCAGCAGTGTTACAGCTACAGCAGTGTAGTGGGCAGTGTTACAGCTGCATCAGTGTAGTGGGCAGTGTTACAGCTGCATCAGTGTAGTGGGCAGTGTTACAGCTGCATCAGTATAGTCAGCAGTGTTACAGCTACATCAGTGTAGTGGGCAGTCCAACTACATGCGCCAACCATGACATTTTGTGGTTGATAGCCTGTGTATGGTTACCATCAATTCATGAATCCAGCCTCGTCACCAATCCATTGTTGGGCATTTTACTTGCCCCATCTAAAATAAGCTTACGAAACTACTCATCTGGCCTCCCTTGATGCTCATGAATCTACAGTTATGTTAAAGATCAGGGAAGGGTTTTACAGTGTTCAACCATTAGTTTATTCATCATGATAAACACTGCAGACCTGTTATGTCTATGTCTTGCCGAAGCTGCCAAACTGTTTGTTCCAGTCTAAGTACAGATCCAAGTCGCTTTCTGAGACACTTGCGCGCACCTGTAGAAACGCTTCCTGGAAGTCTGGAAATGTTATTGGTGGGACCTAGAGTAGTAAGAAGAAAGCATGATGTGTATTTAGTTCACTAGATATGATTTGTACCAGTGTAGTGGAAACATTTCAGTTTGTTACTGTCATCATAATGGTTTATTTCAAGTATGTTGGAAGTGGAAACATCTCAACTAATCTATTTCACAACAGCGCACTTTCATCTTTGCACATGTGGACACAAATTTGCCAAAAGCATCAGTTGATCAGATGGGATGCTCTCACCTGGTCTGCTGTGATAGTCTCGATCTGGTCAGAATGGAAGCCACTCACCAAGTCTGCTGTGATCGTCTCAATCTGGGCAGACGGGAAGCCACTCACCTGGTCTGCTGTGATCACCTCGATCTGGGCAGAGGGGAAGCCACTCACATGGCCTGCTGTGTCTCAATCGAAGCCACTCACCAAGTCTGCTGTGATCGTCTCAATCTGGGCAGACGGGAAGCCACTCACCTGGTCTGCTGTGATCGCCTCGATCTGGGCAGAGGGGAAGCCACTCACCTGGTCTGCTGTGATCGCCTCGATCTGGGCAGAGGGGAAGCCACTCACCTGGTCTGCTGTGATCGTCTCGATCTGAGCAGAGGGGAAGCCACTCACCTGGTCTGCTATGTCATAGTGGAAGCCACTCACCTGGTCTGCTGTGATTGTCTCGATCTGGTCAAAGGGGATACTGCGGACTGGGCCGAGGGCAGCTTCCCTACACAGGTTGGCCATGTCAGCACCAGAATACCCTGCACAAACATGTGGAACATTTCACTGAACTAGAAGGGAGTTTTCATTACATATGGAATCATGCCTATGCAGTACAAGTTGAAACAGAAAGCTACCTACAAGCACTTAGTTACAACAAACTTGACCTTCAAATTGAGCCATGGACCGAGAAACTCCAATCATCAACACTCAAAATATTGTGTATACACAAGCTGTTTCAGTGGGTCATTCCCACGAGTGACCCTGACTTTCAACATTACTGAATGACATATACCAACACTTATGCAATCAAGATCCCTACCTCAGACACATGTATATTCTGTGAAATCCCAATCATTACCTAAGTCATCACCTAATTCAAGCCTAATGAATGCTGACCTATTTCTGTGTGACCTTCATAACCTTCCAACCACAGAACATTTTTTATGTAATCTGTTTATGTTACAAGTATGTTTCCAAACCATACCATCAAGTACTTTCTAAATGAAACTTTTTCCAAAAGTCATTTCATGACTTAATAGCTACCGCATTTTGCATCCTGTTCATGAGCCATAAGTATCTTCCACTGCATGTGATCCACTGAATCAAAGCAGGCTGACAGCCTAACTGACAAGATATGATGAAATATTATGCAGCACTGTTAGGCAGAGGCGACATGTGGTAAATACAAACCAGACAGTTGCTAGGCAATCTTTTTAACATATATATTTTTCTTTTATATTTTTGCTATCAAGCTTGACATCAGGAATCTAAATTCCTCAGATTTACTGTTATTACTTCAATGAACAATGGACTTTAATATAATAAACATGATCCTCACCATCAGTTTTATGACAGATCGTCTGGATGTCTGTATCTGAGAGACTGAAGCTCTGTTGAGACAGGAGGTTCTCGATGATGTGTTGCCGGGCAACAGTGTCCGGGAGAGGGATGTAAAGTCGCTTCACAAATCGCCGCCTGGCCGCCTCATCAATTTCCTGTGGCCTGGAGGTCAACAGGTATGGATATAGTGACAACGGCCTACATTTTAACAAATGTAAACTAACCAGGACATACCAGATGTTGTCCTCCCATTCAGAACTATTTGCACTTCTGGAAAAAGTAGACTTCAAAGAAACACTCCTTGCTATTCACACATCAGATAATTGTTTTAATGATGTTTCTGCATTTCAAAGTTTTATGTTAAAGAAGAATATGCTATGTATTTACACCATCTCTCTTCCATTACACTAAAACACATTAATCAAATTTTGAGCCCAGGTACACCAACTATTCATCACTGAATGACGTAATACTAGCCTGGAGACTTGTAAGTATCTTCAATAAATTGAATTGAATAGTCACAGAGCTAAACAGGTTTTGTTTGACATTTGCAATTCATATTTATGTGCTCTGCACAGACCGCTGAGGAAGGTTGTTGTGTCATTGTTTTTCTAATTTGACACTTGAATTCATGACTGGAAGACTTCTCTTCTTCACCTTACAATGCCACAAGACATTTCTGGGTTGAGCAAGTAGAATGAGTACACCGATGTCACTAAGCCAGCTTCAGTGTGTGGCCTCACCTGTTGGTGGCCCCGATGACCAGAATGCGGTCTTCTGACTGCGTGCCCGCCCCGTCCTGAATTTAGAATACATATCATAGGACCTGTTCTACACCACCAGTGGGAACATAAGGGGATACACAACAGAACTCTTCATATTCTTTTCCTACAGGACAGTAGGCCACTTGCCCCAACCACCTTCGCCTCATAGTACATGGGTGAAAACAAATATTGCGTATGCATGACTAAAAACTGACAAAAATGTGCAAAATATTTGCCAACACTGCATAAAAAATTGGCAAAGGCATAAAAACAAATTCATGATGAACCAAGATATCACGACAAGCATGATGAATACACATATCATCAGTCTTGTATCATATAAGGCATATCTGGTCACTAAAGAAACTATATATTTCAACATATGGTATTTTTTGGATTACACAATCTCAGTAAAGTAGAGATTCTAATACTTTTGTTAGGTTTAGTCCATTCTGGGTATCGAATCGACTCTCTCAGAGTCAGACTCCTAATTGTGTAATAATATTTTCAAACATAAGGAACTGATCAAACCAGAAAATAATATAAGTATGTGATCCATTAGAGTTTCTCTATCTTTCATTACAGTTTACATACCAGCTGTACAAGAAACTCCGTCTTGATTCTGCGTGAGGCTTCATGTTCCCCGTCTGAACGCTGGGACAACAGGGAGTCGATCTCGTCAATAAACACCACGGCGGGCTGGTTACACCGTGCCACAGCAAACAGAGCTCGCACCATCTTTTCTCCTTCTCCTACCTGTCAAACACAGGTCACTGGGGTAACTGAGTAATCAACCTGACACATCACTGTGGCAAACACAGGTTACTGGGGTCACTGAGTAATCAACCTGACACATCACTGTGGCAAACACAGGTCACTGGGGTAACTCAGTAATCAACCAGACACATCACTGTGGCAAACACAGGTTACTGGGGTAACTGAGTAATCAACCTGATACATCACTGTGGCAAACACAGGTCACTGGGGTAACTGAGTAATCAACCTGATACATCACTGTGGCAAACACAGGTCACTGGGGTAACTGAGTAATCAACCTGACACATCACTGTGGCAAACACAGGTCACTGGGGTAACTGAGTAATCAACCTGACACATCACTGTGGCAAACACAGGTCACTGGGGTAACTGAGTAATCAACCTGATACATCACTGTGGCAAACACAGGTTACTTGGGTAACTGAGTAACGAACCTGACACATCACTGTGGCAAACACAGGTCACTGGGGTAACTGAGTAATCAACCAGATACATCACTGTGGCAAACACAGGTCACTGGGGTAACTGAGTAATCAACCTGACACATCACTGTGGCAAACACAGGTCACTGGGGTAACTGAGTAATCAACCTGACACATCACTGTGGCAAACACAGGTCACTGGGGTAACTGAGTAATCAACCAGACACATCACTGTGGCAAACACAGGTCACTGGGGTAACTGAGTAATCAACCTGACACATCACTGTGGCAAACACAGGTTACTGGGGTAACTGAGTAATCAACCAGATACATCACTGTGGCAAACACAGCTCACTGAGTAGTCAACCTGATACATCACTGTGGCAAACACAGGTTACTGGGGTAACTGAGTAATCAACCTGACACATCACTGTGGCAAACACAGGTCACTGGGGTAACTGAGTAATCAACCTGACACATCACTGTGGCAAACACAGGTCACTGGGGTAACTGAGTAATCAACCAGACACATCACTGTGGCAAACACAGGTCACTGGGGTAACTGAGTAATCAACCTGACACATCACTGTGGCAAACACAGGTTACTGGGGTAACTGAGTAATCAACCAGATACATCACTGTGGCAAACACAGCTCACTGAGTAATCAACCTGACACATCACTGTGGCAAACACAGGTTACTGGGGTAACTGAGTAATCACCTGACACATCACTGTGGCAAACACAGGTCACTGGGGTAACTGAGTAATCACCTGACACATCATCGTGGTAAAACACAGGTCACTGGGGTAACTGAGTAATCAACCTGACACATCACTGTGGCAAACACAGGTTACTGGGGTAACTGAGTAATGAACCAGACACATCACTGTGGCAAACACAGGTCACTGGGGTAACTGAGTAATCAACCTGACACATCACTGTGGCAAACACAGGTCACTGGGGTAACTGAGTAATCAACCTGACACATCACTGTGGCAAACACAGGTCACTGGGGTAACTGAGTAATCAACCTGACACATCACTGTGGCAAACACAGGTCACTGGGGTAACTGAGTAATCAACCCGACACATCACTGTGGCAAACACAGGTCACTGGGGTAACTGAGTAATCAACCTGACACATCACTGTGGCAAACACAGGTCACTGGGGTAACTGAGTAATCAACCTGACACATCACTGTGGCAAACACAGGTTACTGGGGTAACTGAGTAATCAACCTGACACATCACTGTGGCAAACACAGGTCACTGGGGTAACTGAGTAATCAACCTGACACATCACTGTGGCAAACACAGGTCACTGGGGTAACTGAGTAATCAACCAGACACATCACTGTGGCAAACACAGGTCACTGGGGTAACTGAGTACTCAACCCGACACATCACTGTGGCAAACACAGGTCACTGGGGTAACTGAGTAATCAACCTGACACATCACTGTGGCAAACACAGGTCACTGGGGTAACTGAGTAATCAACCAGACACATCACTGTGGCAAACACAGGTCACTGGGGTAACTGAGTAATCAACCTGACACATCACTGTGGCAAACACAGGTTACTGGGGTAACTGAGTAATCAACCTGACACATCACTGTGGCAAACACAGGTCACTGGGGTAACTGAGTACTCAACCCGACATATCACTGTTGCAAACACAGGTTACAGGGTAACTGAGTAATCAACCTGACACATCACTGTTGCAAACACAGGTTACTGGGGTAACTCAGTTATCAACCTGACACATCACTGTGGCAAACACAGGTTACTGGGGTAACTGAGTAATCAACCAGACACATCACTGTGGCAAACACAGGTTACTGGGGTAACTGAGTAATCAACCTGACACATCACTGTGGCAAACACAGGTTACAGGGTAACTGAGTAATCAACCTGACACATCACTGTTGCAAACACAGGTTACAGGGTAACTCAGTTATCAGCTAAACACATCACTGCCAAACTAGTGCAAAGTGTAGGATGAGCTATGAGCATACATACCCAACGTGAGCGAGGATGCACCATCTTTTCTCCTTCTCCTACCTGTCAAACACAGGTTACTGGGGTAACTGAGTAATCAACCTGACACATCACTGTGGCAAACACAGGTCACTGGGGTAACTGAGTAATCAACCTGACACATCACTGTGGCAAACACAGGTCACTGGGGTAACTGAGTAATCAACCTGATACATCACTGTGGCAAACACAGGTCACTGGGGTAACTGAGTAATCAACCTGACACATCACTGTGGCAAACACAGGTTACTGGGGTAACTGAGTAATCAACCTGACACATCACTGTGGCAAACACAGGTTACTGGGGTAACTGAGTAATCAACCTGACACATCACTGTGGCAAACACAGGTTACTGGGGTAACTGAGTAATGAACCAGACACATCACTGTGGCAAACACAGGTCACTGGGGTAACTGAGTAATCAACCTGACACATCACTGTGGCAAACACAGGTCACTGGGGTAACTGAGTAATCAACCTGACACATCACTGTGGCAAACACAGGTTACTGGGGTAACTGAGTAACGAACCAGACACATCACTGTGGCAAACACAGGTCACTGGGGTAACTGAGTAATCAACCTGACACATCACTGTGGCAAACACAGGTCACTGGGGTAACTGAGTAATCAACCTGACACATCACTGTGGCAAACACAGGTCACTGGGGTAACTGAGTAATCAACCTGACACATCACTGTGGCAAACACAGGTCACTGGGGTAACTGAGTAATCAACCTGACACATCACTGTGGCAAACACAGGTCACTGGGGTAACTGAGTAATCAACCTGACACATCACTGTGGCAAACACAGGTCACTGGGGTAACTGAGTAATCAACCTGACACATCACTGTGGCAAACACAGGTCACTGGGGTAACTGAGTAATCAACCTGACACATCACTGTGGCAAACACAGGTCACTGGGGTAACTGAGTACTCAACCCGACACATCACTGTGGCAAACACAGGTTACAGGGTAACTCAGTTATCAGCTAAACACATCACTGCCAAACTAGTGCAAAGTGTAGGATGAGCTATGTGGCATACATACCCACTTTGACGTGAGCGAGGATGCACCATCTTTTCTCCTTCTCCTACCTGTCAAACACAGGTTACTGGGGTAACTGAGTAATCAACCTGACACATCACTGTGGCAAACACAGGTCACTGGGGTAACTGAGTAATCAACCTGACACATCACTGTGGCAAACACAGGTCACTGGGGTAACTGAGTAATCAACCTGACACATCACTGTGGCAAACACAGGTCACTGGGGTAACTGAGTAATCAACCAGATACATCACTGTGGCAAACACAGGTCACTGGGGTAACTGAGTAATCAACCAGATACATCACTGTGGCAAACACATGTTACTGGGGTAACTCAGTTATCAACCAGACACATCACTGTGGCAAACACAGGTTACTGGGGTAACTGAGTAATCAACCTGACACATCACTGTGGCAAACACAGGTCACTGGGGTAACTGAGTAATCAACCTGACACATCACTGTGGCAAACACAGGTCACTGGGGTAACTCGGTTATCAACCAGACACATCACTGTGGCAAACACAGGTCACTGGGGTAACTGAGTAATCAGCCAGATACATCACTGTGGCAAACACAGGTCACTGGGGTAACTCAGTTATCAACCAGACACATCACTGTGGCAAACACAGGTTACAGGGTAACTCAGTTATCAGCTAAACACATCACTGCCAAACTAGTGCAAAGTGTAGGATGAGCTATGTGGCATACATACCCACTTTGATGTGAGCGAGGATGCACTGATGCTGAAGAAGGTGGACTTGGACTGACTGGCTACACATTTACCTACAAAAGAGGATCACCATTATGTATATATAAAATATTCTAAAAATACATATAAATATTTTTCAAAATCTACATCTTTGTCTTATGAAAACTGTTTTTAATACCAAAAATTATAGACTTTATCAAACCCATATACCACTAAACAGATGCTACTAAACACTACAGTGTTTTAAGTCAATGACATTAAAACATGCCTGTCATCTATGAAAGTGTTTGTTCCTGTTTCATGTAGCCGAAATCATGTTTATAACAAAGCCAAGCTATAAAAAAGTCAAGCTATAATCAGTTAAGTTGAACTTAGAATTGACACCTTCTCAAAAGTCTCACACACCTATGAGAGTTTTTCCTGTTCCTGGAGGTCCAAAAAGTAGCAAGCCTTTTGGTGGACCTCTCAATCCAGTGAAAATATCCCTGGAACACCATATAATATTAGACCCTGCTACAATGACATGTTTCCTCCAGTTAAAGTATGGGATGTATTTACAAACATGGATGTTCAAAACAAATCTGTTATAAATTTTATTTCTCTTGCTTGTTTGCTGTTTAATGCTGCACTAAGCAAATATTCCAGCATCATGGTGGAGTCATGTAAATAATTGTGTCTACTAGACAAAGCATTGAGTCAACAGTGCATCCGGTTCTGATGGCAGGCAATCGTCAAAGTCACTGAGCCTACATACATGATCCGTCCAGTTGGCTCCAAGGCCAAGCACAGGTAACATGCTGGGGACCATTTCAAACTTTTATTAGTGTTGGGAATTAGCTTGAATCTCATACTTGGTGATTGGTTCATTACAACCAATCAATCATCAAAAACAATTCACACATTGTACCCATGTGGGGAATCGAATCAGGGTCTTTGGCATGACGAGCGAACGCTTTAACCACTAGGCTACCCCACCGCCTGTAGTGCTTATGAAATGTAACAGACAAAACCAACCATGTGAAAAATATTGTCAATGCAAACAAGTGTTCCAAAATTGTTTGTGTTCGATTATGAGAAAACATGATTGATTGATTGATTGATCATTTAGTCAGTGCAACCAATCTTCGATTATTTCAATTAATCATCTACACACAACAATCATATGTCACAAGTACAACAACATACAACCTGAAAACAGGCCACTCAACAAACAGGACAAAATATGCTCTTGCATCACAAACACAACATGATATAATCTGTCAGTGTAATGAGACATAGCATCGCGTTATCATGGGTTATTGTAAACATACACACATACGGTCTAAGCATGGGCCACACCACAATCTCCTTTATTGTTTTCTTTGCAAAATCCAACCCTGCAATATCACTCCAATCCAGTTGGGGTCCATGATCCATAATCTGTAAGAAGTCAGTATTGTATAAGAAGTAAATATACATGTCTGAGTTCTATAAGTCTACTTTAGCAGTTTGTTGAGAGAGTAATGACATAAGCCAGAAGGGTTGTATCCATCATCTAGAGTAGTACTCGCTACCTGGACCTGTCTGTCTCTAATCAATAGCACAGAATGTCTATTGCACTTTTCAGTAACATGATTGGACGTCTATTTTCAGCATTGTGTTGTGTCATGTGACTCAGATTTCAGGGTCCTTATCACAATGGAAGGGAGGCATTAAATCATAGATAACTGGGGATCCAACAGCCTCACTCTCAAAATAACAGCAAAAAATTGTGCTAGGTGGTCAAATGAAAAATATAACTTTTTTCTTACAGCATATTCTTCAGGCTCCCAAACAAAACATCAATTGACCCATACCTCATTCATGATCAGTTCGATCATCTTGGGTTCGATGCCCTTCAGTCTTTCGTCAACCGGCTCCTCACTTTCATCAGTGCCTTTACCCCTGCTGCCGGTTTGCTTGCTGTAGCAACATGAAGACTTATGTGACCAACATCACACCTGATGAAGGAGTAAGGATGTACTCCAAAACGTTGTGTTCCTCATAATAAAGACATTGACATCCATACAACTCTCTTCCTTATGTGTATCACTTCTACATGCCACTTAAAGACCTAACATCATACCAATGTAATAATGTAATGTACTCACTCATGCTACCTAAACACTACACCATATACCTGGGTTCCTCAAATTTAAACAAAAGATCCAAACAGCTGACAAAAGGTACAAAAGCCCATCTCAGAAGGAATACAAAATACTGCATTGACAAGTTGTTAAAATCTTGAAGTAGACTGAATAATCTTCCAACAGAAATATCTCTCTTAAAAACATAAAAATGACAGGTCAAACTTTTAAGCCATAATGCACAAACACGGCTGTTCTCAACTATAAAGACTTCTTCCTCTCAGCAATTTCGTAGCTATAATATGATGACAGTCTTTAAACATTCAAATCAGTACTGGTCAATCCAGTGATTGACATCATGAGCACAAATATATCCTGTTGGGATACAAAGACATGCACCAACCAAGTCAGCACGCCTGACCACCCAATCCCCCTAATCACCTCTGACAACAAGCAAGTGATGCTGAAGACAAATTTTAATCTAGATAGGTAGAAAATACATGATCAATAAGCTCACATTGGCTACAAGGAGAACTAAATGTGATTACTTCGCGGTGATGGAAATTATAGAGACATGTGACTGGCGTTTTCATATATTCCTGTAGATCATGATCGACTGATGAAGGCAACAGAAATGCACCCACCTTCCTCCCCCACCTCCATTCTCCTCCCGACCTGCTATCGGAGGAATAAACTTGCTTGACGGGCCACGCCTATCAAATACATAGCAAATCATGAAGGCATTCAGAAGACTCTCATGTCATTGTACAGGGTTTTGACATTTCTAAATATAACAATAAAAACTGACAAACAGAATGTGTGACTGAAATACTAAAATAATTGGTCAGGGTTGTCATATTGCATAGAAAGAGTCAGGCCAGAGCATGTGTTTAGCAGGGGTCTTCTTCTCTCGCAAGTGAGCAGCATTTAAGACCACTTTGAACAGTATTCCAGTAAAATCAGTGTTAGATAAATGTGAACAGTAAACCTGAAGCGATACAGACACTGCTCCATCTGTTCCTCCTTCACTTCTCTCATAATCACGTTCCAAAATAAAACACAAAGAATTGTGTACTACCTCTCATCAAGACAAGGAGTATGTTTAATGCTACCAGTACAGACAACAGAACATCAGGTCAGAGTGCAGTCTGTACCTTGTTCCAAGGGACCTTTTCCTGTCCCATACACAGATGATGGGGCTTGACCTTGACCTTGATTACCGCCCCCTCCTCGAGAATATTTTTTTTGTTGGTCAATAGCCTACAAATCAATAATTTATTACAAAATCAAAAGTCAATATCTTGTTAACTATATCTGTAAAATGTATTTAAAATATCTACAACTATTGCAATGATGTAGCCTCATGTATACTTTGTTCTTTATAACATACCAACCAATAGTAAAATGTGTTAGTTTGAGCAAACATTTCTTCTGCAGCTTGTTTTGTCACATGCTCGGATGAGTTATCTCCCTTTCATTGACACCTATTCAGGCATGTTCATCAAACTACTTCCATGCTATATTGGCAGGATCAGAATATCTAAGAATAATAGCCAGGCACGTAGCAAGCCAATTTTTCATGTCTGCCTGATAGGTTGCCAAGCTTTATATTTAGATAGTACTGAGGACTTGCCCAACCTTTTTAGCAACAATCATGTGTAAGCCCAGGGCCTAGATTTTTTAAGCTATCACAGCGCTAAGATAGTCGTAAGTGCCATACATTAACATTAACTTATGACTATCTTAGCGCTAAGAGAGCTTCGAAAATCTAGGCCCAGACCTTTTTTTTTATAATGGTAGCTACGCCCCTGATAGCTACTTTGATAAAATACATATACTACACTGAATTCTTTATTTGACCACAATGAAGCGAATATAGTAGAACATGGATATAGCGAACACGGATATAGTGTACAAACGGATATAGCGAACAAATTCAAAAGTCCTGTCAATAGTCCTTTATAATATCATTAAAATTATACGCGAATAACGAACTCGTGAGTAGCGAATTAACGGCTATAGTGAACTGATTTACTGACCCCAAGACCCAATTAACGACGTGATCAGCGAACTCACTCAGTGTCAGCTCAGCCACTTAGCAGTATACATCAGCCTTGTTGGCGGCAAATCAACATTGTTTGATGGTCATTAATTAATTAACAAAACAAACATATTGTGTTTAAAAGCTTGACTGGTATACTGGTCTTCAGTTCACTCTCATCACTATGGCAGGCAAATGTAAAGCTATCACCTTTGACACCAAGCTTCAGATAATTCAGGTTGTAGATTCAGGTGTAAAATCTAAGACAAACATCGCTGTCGACTTTGGCATTCCAAAATCCACTCTCAGTTCCATTATTAAGAATCGCGAATCTATTCTTGCAAAATCTGTGTCTACTGATTTTGGCCCCATCCACAAAAAGTGAAGAGCTGCCAATCACCAAGATGTAGAAGATGCTCTCTACAAATGGTTTCAAGGGGCTAGAAGTGAGAACATTCCCTTAATGGTCCCATCTACTTGTTTGTGAAGGTTCAGATAGTTCTACCTTCGACTCTCTGCAGATGTCTGTGATGCAGTTGAAAAAATGAAGTTGGCAAGACGTGGTGTGCAGAGCAAAATTGTGCACTTTGTTAAACGCAGTTAAGTTATATATTGTTGTGATTGTTAAACATGTTCTAGCTAATGTCTGTGAATGATAAATTCAGAAATTTAATGTGATGTCAGTGTACAAGAATAAAGATTTGTAGCCTCAGCATATACATGTCTCTACATCTCTACAATCCAAGATGGCGGTCAAATGTGAATAACAAACAACGGATATAGCGAACTAAATTTCTTGGTCCCTTGGAGTTCGTTATATCCATGTTCTACTGTACTTTATATGGGAATACATTTCTGGAAGGAACATCAAAGTCTTAACATGAACATTGTTGTATTATTAATTTGTTAGCGGGACTCAAAGTGTTGTGGATTAGTTTCATCCGACTGACCAGCTGTTGTTTGGCTGTTTTAAAGGGGTTGTTCAGATTGGGTCCAGCTTCCTCCTCCTCTTCAAACCGAGGGTCAGCTTCACGACTTGGATGCTAAATGAGATGCAAAATAGATCTTAATTGGCTTCTCTTTAACCCTGGAAAGGTATGAGTTGTACAGTTTCACGCCACCCTTCTGTATGACATCAACATTACAGCAAGGGACACCAAAATGTGTTTTACACATGGAGTCATTGTGGACAATCCAACCTGGATCTTTGTTGTCAAGGAAATGTTGTAGCCCCCTTCCCGTGTATGGTTAGAAGATTGTAGAAGATGCTTTTACCCACATGAAACATTTATTAAAAAGAAAACACAAATGAAAACGAACTTTAATCAAATCTCTTCAGAAATAATTAGGAAACAATTTCAGTGAAAACATTTTATTGAATTCTCAAATAATTTCTCACAGTAGTGTCCATCAAGTGATGGGTTTCAGTGAATCTCATCTTTACTTACCTCGGTGTTTTGAAATAAAGATGGCTGACCACCAGAACACCCAAAGTTTCTCTGTCCACCTGCCCCACCTACAACTTAAGTTCCATAACATGAATCAAGGTGTTTTTTTTATATTCCATACTGTAGTATCTTTATTTCATTTTTCTTGAACATTCTTCCATGAATATGGAAAAAATCAACTTGTCATTTGAGAACATGACATGAGTTTTTAACATGTAAGACATTTTAAATAATGAAATAACAATGATAGGTTATAAACTGCAAAGAAGAGATATATATTTCAAGTTTAAGGAACAGGTTTCATAGTGGTGTGTAATTTAAAGGCTAAAACTTGAAAGATTTGCAAGTGACTACTTAATGTCGGCTTACAAAGTAGTTGTGCTGTACAGAATATCAATGTACAGATGACTTTTCTTGTGTTGACGTAGACCTACAAACTATAGGTCTATAGGTATACTGAATGACAGATGTACCAAACTGTTTTTTGGTCCAGTCCACTTGCTGTATATTTCAGTCAAAATGTGAATACCGAACTACAGTTCAAAATCAGTGATCCCTTTTTATAACCGTAATATATTGTATTACTATTGGAACTGACAGAGTTAACCAGACAGCTAAAACCCCATGCTTTGAGAGATTGGTTCCTCATTCAAGTTGCGTCCATTAACTATACCTGTAAGAAAGCTTTATGAAATACAGTATGTTTACCACTTATTTGTGCAGACTTATAAGTACAACATTATTTCACAAATGTACAATAAATATTACCCTGTCAGAAACTAACCATTGTTAGAAAACAAAGGTCTTTTTCTAGAATAAGTATCTCTGCCATCAATATCCCTGTTAGAGTTGGATGTCCATGCAGGAGTTGTCTGCCTTTGGTGGTTGCCAGGTTTGTGTTCTCCACTTTTATGTGTGAAGTCTCTTAATGCTTGTGTATCACCCCAACTCTTCTGTCTGTCCTTCTGTTGAGGTAGTGAGGTATTTTGTCTGCTCTGAGTATTTGAGGTAAAAGACTGATCTCTACCCTTGTCTACACTCGCAGTATTATTTTCCTTATTGTCTGTTTTTTTGAAAACAGGGTCATTCTCACTTCCTGGGGGCAGATAAGACTTGGAAATATTCTGAAATTCAGAAATGTATACTGAATAGTGAAACTCGGCTTAGACAAAATTGATGTCACCTCAGATGTGAATAAATTTATTAGTTATTGGTTACATAGAATAAAGAGACAATTTACATGGTGATGCTTTGGCCAGGCTCTGGAGTGGAATCATGGGTTTACACACTGTTTTACCAATAATTTCAAACAGGTAGGTCAAAATATCTTTATCAATAACATTCCATTTCAATTCTGTTTTTTAAGACTTCCTCAAAGAGTTAATTAAGTGAGTGGGGTATTGCGGTGGAGCTTGTTTTTAAGATAATATTTCAACAGGCCATAATTACAGCATTTTAAATAATTTATTCATAATGATAGACATAATAAATGGGTAGTTGTTTTTAAATATTTGAAGTTTCTGAGGCCGTCTTTGGATATATTTTCACATTTCAATTTCTGGTTGGTATGGATTTGTTAACCAAGTTTTGAAAAAGTCCACCCTTGTAATCTATGTGTACCATGGCTTGTGACTTCAGTTTCTGGTAAAACTCCTTTGATTTAAGGGCATCGAGAGTAAGGGTTGATTTCCATTTCTGGCTCTCTGAAAAAAATGGAAATCATTGGTTTGAGTGTCAATGGTTTCAGTGCTAACCTTGAACGGTTCTGAATGGCAGAGACAGGGAGCCACAAAATGTAGAATTGCATTTTGAGAACAATTCAACTGACTGACTGAGTTTAGTTTTACGCCGCTTTTAGCAATATTCCAGCAATATCACGGCGGGGGACACCAGAAATGGGCTTAACACATTGTGCCCATGTGGGGAATCGAACCCAGGTCTTCGGTGTGACGAGCCAACGCTTTAACCACTAGGCTACCCCACCGCCCCCAGAACAATTCAAAGGGCACATGGAAAAAACAAAAAACAGCCATCAAAAGATAAATTCTCCGTCCTGGGAAACATTCGATGTATGAGCAATGGAGATGATAAAAGTGATTATGAAGCCCTGAGGATGAGCTGGTCCATGATATTTACCATTACAGAATTAAAGTGAGTGAGTGAATATGGTTTTACGCCGCTTTTAGCAATGTTCCAGCAATATCAAGGCAGTGACCCCAGAAATGGGCTTCACACACAGAATTAAAACATTCAATGATGGAATCCACTTGCACATGGAGAATTTCTACATGCAAAGCTGTACCAATATACCATTTTTGTGTTTGCTGCATATGGTGAGAGCTCCTTCTGCGAAGTTATTCAGACCTACAAGGAAAAATTAGTTTTGCCATAAGCTACATGAGGATTACCATGGAAACAGAATGATGGGGGGACTTCTCCAAGCTTGAAAGTAAGTGAATGAAATATGATATTTCTGAACACTTTCCAAACTGCTTTCACAGTGAATATGAGTAAATAATAAACAGCTTAAGGCAAACTACTAGTTGGGCTTGTTATGAGTATGTCAGCAATACCTGATTTTTCATCTAGGGAATCAACAACTTTCCCGTAGTCTTCTTCATACCCCTTCAACACACAGGCCTCAGCTTCCACAGGCAATCTGAATATATCATTACAGTTTCATCTTGAGATGCACAAACTCTGTCCACTCATAAACTCCCAGTACATATAAAATGTATGCATTACAGTCTTATACCATTTCCAGCCAGTTAACATCTCAATGGCAACTGACTTTCACCACTTATTTAAGGAGACACATAATATTATAATTCTGAATCTTTAGTAGGAAATTTGATTCATTATAACATGATTGTGTATGTTATAATTGATAATTTAGGAAAGACAATGAAGAAATTATATGAAATATCAATCCTAAGGATGTTCATATGACATAATCTTATGATGAATGAGTGAGTTTTGAACAGTATTCCAGACTGACTTCGGGACTTGTCAGCTATATGTTAGAGGAATTCCTGACATGCAGATATGAGACATTTACCACTTTGGTGAGAAACCCTCAAGAGCAGACATGGTGCCAAGAAACCTTGAAACACAATCGGATTCAAACCCATGATCATGAGTGTCTGGTATGCCAGGGGTGGACATAACTTTAAATTTGCTAGTGTAGTCTGTTACAGTGGCACATGTAAAATCACTTGCCCTGATAATTTTTCCACTGTACCGGCCAATTTTCTTGTTTATTTTTTAAATAAACAACACAATTAACATGGGAAAGTCAATCGGACACTGGTACAGTGTGATATACAAATTTGCTTGCCCGACAGAAAAAAACACTGGACTGGGGCGTCGGGCAATGGGTTATTTCCACCCCTGCATGAGTGTCTGGTATGCCTAAGGGATCCCTCTCCAGGCAGGCCGACCTGTGCTGCTTGCCTTGATAACAATGGATGACATTATAGAATTTTCTCAATAATAAAGCAGCTGACATATCACAGAGTTGTTTAACGTCATAAAACAGAAAGTGTGAACACAGAGGACAACCTACATTCCCTGAGTCTGTGCCAGACGTAGGTGAGCTGATATATTCCTGAGACTGTCGGCTCTGAGTAATGGAGAACTATTGCATGATGGGATTGAAAAGTAGAGTTCCTGTAGTCGGCTCAAAAACTGATCTTCTTCACATCCAGCAGTTCCCATCATCTAACATAACAACAGATTTTGTACTCATTTGTTTCTAATTGTGATCATGTCAACTTTAATGTCTATATTAGGAGTGATTATTTAGATCTTTCTTAACACATGGTAAATATATGCTTAAACTTAATAATATTCTGCAGTAATTTTGTTGTCTACTTTCATTTTACTATTGTCAGTTTCTATACCTCTTGAAGAGGAAGTAAATAAATAGGAAGTAAATTTAGATAAATAATAAATAAATATCATTTTCCATTGATAATACACTGAATCTAAGAGCAGATTTGGTCATTGTTCGCACATGTCATACATGAAAGTACATGTTACATAGATTTTAGATCTATTTCATGGGCGGATCCAGGAATTTTGAAAGGGGGGGTTCAGGGGGTTCGAAACCACCACCCCACCCCCATTGGCTCCGCCAACGCCAAAAAAATCTTCAATGTGGTCTTAAGTCATTTTCAAAAGGGATAATTGGATCCGCCAATGTATTTGTAAATGTTGTACATTGGAACACATATCAAGAAATACTAGAATAATAAGCAGGGATTTTGGATAAAAATATTACCAGATACCTCAGGCATCTGTGCGATCATAAAACCCATATAATCATATAAACTTGATAGTGACTCATATGTTCCACATACCAGCCGCAGGAGAACGGCGACACAGAATACACCAACGTGAAAAAGATGTTTAACATCTATGTATCCTAATCTGTGAGTATCAGCAAAACGTTATCTGAATTCTAATGTGATTATTGATATTAATCAGATACGAAATCTTATTATTGGCTGGTATAATAATACTTGAACATCTACAGATAACACTAACTGTCAGCAGATAGGTGTCAAATCATCACAACGAATTTCCTTTTTCCCGCCATATACTCACTTCCTTATAAGGGACATCACTCTGCATATACACTACAGATACCGCTAAATAATAATATATGGCATTCTATATTTATATCAAACCTTTGGTTTTAGTTTACGGAGTTGAATTATATATATTCAAAGATCATTCGTATACCCTTTTCAATATTTTGCTGATAAAAATGTCGATTAGGGAAATTATAAACGAATAGAAATGTATTTTGGGTAATGTTAGTTTGTTGTTTCACGCCACACTATTTCAGTTATATGGCATTGGTATGTAAATAATCGGTTCTGGGCCAGACAATCCAGTGATCAACATCATGAGTATCGATCTAAGCATTTGTGATACGATGGCATGTGCCAACCAAGTCATCGAGCCTGTTCTTCAGATCCCTTTCGTCGCCTCTAACGACAAGCATGGGTTCCTGAAGACCAATTCTAACCCGGATTTTACGGGTCCTTTTCGGTAATGAAGTAAAAGTTTTATAGTCCGTTTGACTTCATTTTAGACCGATGAATTGCTCACTAACACAAAGCCTAATAATTGCAACCAGAGACCATATAATAATTCTATCATATGGTCTCTGTTGCAACAAAACTCAATTTTGCACAGTCACATGAAATCGACAGACCATCTCTGATGGTTTGTCACATAATTTTGGACACCAGAATATAAAAGTTGTTTAACAAACGATCATTACTTTGTTGTCACTTTTCGCTATTTCTTGCGAGGGAGGACCACTTGCTGGTAGAACAGCAATCTGAACTTAATAATGTGGAATTTGATAGCCAAGGCAGTTTCGTGTCGTGCGTCGATGCACAAACTGGTTTATATGCTCTAGAATGTTACTGGACACATCTGGGGCTGATTCGTATAGAGAAATTACAACAGAGCCGTTTTGCCCTTCCTTTCAGTGCTACTTTATTAGTACAATCCCTGTTCTGATGCGGGCGCAATAACACAGCAAAAAGCTGCGGCACACTTTGATCCAAGCTTGTGTAGCGTGAGTGAGCACTAAGATGCCCTGTACAAACTCACTCACTCCAGCGACCATATACCGGCGTATATCGGTATATGGTCTCTGCTCACTTTTTTTAACACCGCAGTTCGATAAATGCATTACAGGGGCCAGGACGTTTCCTATTGCCGCCGTCGTTGTTGTTTAACGCCGCACAATGTGTCAGTCATGTGACGGCGACCTGTGAACAATCGAAATTGGTCCAGACAAACCAGTGATCGATATCATAAGTACGTTGCCACGATAAAGATGATCCGATCCATTCTGTCCCCTCTTCCGACCATCACAGCTGAACATGGACCTATTCTTACCTGGAACTGTCATGGGGAGCCGGCCTTTATGACCAGCAGCTCAGACACAGTTCTAAGTGCTGAAAACGCGAGAAGACAAGCAGTGGACGTCTGAGGACACCGTACACGTAGAGGGGAATTGTTCCAGGGAGCCACCCAAAAAATAAACAACATACTGTTTCTTATACACATAATCTTTTGTTTGAATGTCAGGTTGTCTTGGAAATACATGTAAACACATACTGGTGGTCTTTCATCCTCACAAAGACATGGGAACCTCTTTGAGTGGCATCAGAGACCATATACTTATATATCTGGTGGCATATTTAGAAGTTGGTGAAGTTGGATGAACAACTTCCTTATTCGGTGATACCTCTAGGGATGATTTGTTGGTCCCTGCATATCATCAGGAATATCACGTGATTGCTTGATAGAATGTGTTTCTTCTCAAGGCGGTTTAAGGTTTGGATTGCAACGTCTCCACGTAGACGTCAGATAACTTCTTTGAGTGGCATATTTAAAAGTTGGTGAATCAGACAAGGACAAACTTTATGGATGAACAACTTCTTTATTCAGGTGATGCATCAATAAATAAAGAAGATGTTCATCCATTGTCCTTATCTAGACATGGGAAGATATATGCATCACGTGCATGTAAACTAGTGGAGTGAATATTTTGTGATCAGGTTACTCTGATAGAAACTATTATCAGTGACACCTATACTGAGTAAGGACTCCAGTACTATATTCTTTCAATACCATGTTTCCCTCCAGACTTGGGCAGCTTTCCTGCTTGTATTAGGCATAGTAAAATAATAATAATAATAATAGTGCCTATTTATAGTGCGCACAAATCCACGCTCGTAAGCATGCTCATGGCGCTACAATTAAAACAATATGTACAGTAAGAGTGAGCTGTTTATGAGTCATAGAACTGAATGAAAAGGTGCGTTTTGAGATGGCTTTTAAAGGAGTCCAGAGTTGGTGCGAGCTTCAGGTCAAAGGGTAAAGAGTTCCACAAGACCGCAGCAGTGTGTGAGAAGGATCTGTGACCAAAGGTCTTAAGCTTGTAGGGAGGTACTGTCAGGAGATTCTGCTGTTGTGACCGCAGTTCACGGGCTGGAACATACAGAGTTATGAGTTCAGATATGTAAGGAGGGGACTGACCATGAAGTGATTTATAGGTGAGACAAAGTATCTTGAACTGTATTCTGGCCCTCACTGGTAACCAGTGCAGTTACCGTGATGTGAGTCTGTTTAGAAGAACGGTTTATTATCCGTGCGGCAGTATTTTGGACCTTCTGTAGCTTGTCCAGTAGAAGATCGCTGAGGCCAGAGTAGAGACTGTTGCAGTAGTTCAGTCTACTGAGAATAAGAGATCGGACAAGTGAGTGGGCAGCCTCGGTGGTGATGAGAGGACGGATATTGCCAATGGGCCTAAGGTGGAGGTAGCACGTTTTACATAGGTTGTTGACTTGGGCTTCCATAGAAAGACTTGAATCAAGTAATACTCCCAGATCTTTCATGGTATGAGAAGGCTGTATAAGAGAGTCCGCGACAGTAATAGATTGAATATCCGATTTGAGAAGTTGTTGCTTAGTGCCTACCACAAGGGCTTCAGTCTTGTTGTCATTCAGTTTTAGTTTGCTGACAGTCATCCAAGACTTCAATTCTTTAGTAAACTCTGACAGTGTGTCTAAAGCTTCTCCTGAAGATCTTGGGTGAAAATATTTGTAGAGCTGAGTGTCATTAGCATACGAGTGATGGTTTTGCCCGTGTCTGGAAATGATGTCGGAAACACTGCCTGTGTAAAGTACAAACAACACAGGGCCAAGTACCGATCCTTGGGGTACTCCAAACTCTAGTTTCACTCGACTTGATCGGTCACGTCCAATCGTGATGAACTGTTCCCTGTCTTCCAGATAGGTGGAGAACCAATTTAGGACGTAACCCTCGATGCCATATGAATACTGTAGTCTGGCTAAGAGGAGATCATGGTCAATGGTATCGAATGCAGAAGATAGGTGAAGTAGCACAAGGGCTGCTAATTTACCGTTATCAACTGCACGTCGAAGATCATTTGTAACTCTGAGCAGTGCAGTCTCAGTGCTGTGGAGCTGTCGATACGCTGATTGAAACTTTTCAAGAAGATGGTTATCTGAGAGGTGAGATTTCAGGCGAATGTTGATTGCTTTCTCAATCAATTTCGACAGAAGTGAGAGATTTGACACTGCCCGAAAATTCTTTAAGTCATTGTAATCAAGGTTTTCCTTCTTCAAGAGTGGTTTTACAACAGCACTCCGGAAAATCTGAGGAAATCTTCCTGATTCCAGACTCACATTCACCAACTTTGTAATAACTGGAAGAAGAATGTCCACATATTGAAGAACAAATTTTGTTGGAGCTGGGTCTAAATCACAAGTAGTTGGTTTAGATGAACGGATGAGTTCAAGTATTTCCGCATCACTGAAAGGAGCCAAATCAGTCAGGGGTTGTCCACTGAACTGATTGTCAGACTGTGAGACATGAGAATTGACCAGGACCTGTATTAGATCCTGTCGTATCTTGACGACCCTTTCCAAGAAGAACCCATAAAGGAATCAGCAAGTTGCCCAGTAGGATCAGCAGATTGAAGCTTTGTCTCCGTTTTCCTACATAGGAGATTGTTCATGAATTTAAAGGACCTTTTTGGATTTTCAGTGATGTTTTACAATTGCTGAAGACAGTATTCCTTCTTGCACTTGCGGATGACATTAGTCGAATCTGTTCGAGCCTGTCGGTATATTTGTCTGTGGACTTCAAGACGACGTTTTCTCCACCTCCGTTCAGCTTTTCGTCGTCGACTTGTAGCTTCACGAACTTCGTGATTGTACCACGGTGTGTTTGCTCGATATCTGACTTTTTTCACCATAGCAGGAGCATGTTTATCAAGAAGATCTGCAAGGGTATCTCGATACAGTTGAGCAAGCTCATCTACATCTGAAAGGGTATCACACAACAGAGAAGAATCAAGAAGGTCAGATCGAAATTGTTTTTGGTCTATAGATTTCAGATATCTACAAGAAGTGAACTGTTCTATTTTCTTCGTGATTGGTACTCTTAAAGTTACAAACACAAAGAAGTGATCTGACACTTGCCTATCGTCAACCGACACGTTTTGTATGATTTCACAGCTTTCAAGAGTCACAACCCAGTTCAAAATGTTTCCAGATTTGTGTGTAGGTACAGTAACATGTTGCTTGAGTCCATAAGACTGGAAAAGTTGCAGAAACTTTTTTACAAGAGGTTTTTCACGATCATTAAAGTGAATATTAAAATCTCCAAGAAGCAACGTCCTTTTCCCAGCATGGGAAGAAAGCAAAGTTGAGAGTTCATCATAGAATAATGAATTTGATAATCCATTTTTCCGAGATGGTGGGGGACGGTAGATACAGACGACCCTAAACACGTGCTTAGTAATTGAACCAGAGTTTGTTGTCCTCTTCCCTATTCGCGTGGCCCTTTTGACTGTGCGTGTGGGGCCCAATTGTTGTATACCTGCCTGTTTGATCGAAAAAGGCGTGGCTTAGGAAGCTATGTGTTCGATTATTATTCCACCCAATCGGAGACATTCGATTATAATTCCAACCAATCAGAGGCATTGGACCGCGTGCCTTCACGCTCGGTTCATTGTCCTCTTTGTCTCCGATAGCGTCCTAAGCTCTT